CTTTTAAGACTTATCTGGTCCCTGCATAACCAAAGCAATAGTTTGGCATTCTTGGCACAAAGTTGAGCTTGTTCTGGGTGCAGGTTGGACTCAGCCAGGGCTGTCTCTTGTCTCTGATGTGTGGTGTTCCTGGACAGGATCTCATGGCACACATGTGGAAAGGAGTGTGTCTGGTTTGGGAACCACAGAGTCTCATCTCTGCTTGACATAGATGATGTGATTCTGTGGCCATGACCTTCAGCAGCTGGGACAAGAGTCAGTTCTTTTAAGTCCGAGGCCATGGTTCTCAACTAAAAACAGGTGGAAACACCCCTCCAGGGTTTGCTGTAAGTGAAGAGGCAACTTAGGCAGCTTGGGCAAAACTTTTGATTTACTGGTCCATGTACGGTCCAACCCTTGTGATCATGGATCATGAGTTCCTGAATAGAAAAGGCCAAAATGAGCTTCCTAGGTTTATGAGCTCAGCCTTAGAGTGAGAATAAAGAGGTAGAGCTGCTGCTCCTTTACATTAAAAGCAGTCAGCAGAGGTGGTTAGGACATATGATGCCTTCTGAATGCCTCCTTTTGTTGGGTTTCCAGGAATGTCTTACTGGTAAGAGACCTTTGAGCAAGAACTCGCAAGATAAATTATAGATTATAAATCACCTCTGGCCTGGGAACGTCTTGGGATTCCTCTGGTGGAGCTGGAGAGTGTCTGGGGTTTCTCTGATAAGTGGTAGTAGATGGAGATGCTCTAACCATTTTAGTCAAATCTTAATGTTATGAATAATTTCATTCAAGAATACATTGAGGATGACTCACAGCTACGTCAGATTTTAGCTTAATAGCTGCAAATCGGACTAAGTAAAAGACAATTTTGTATTATTTAAAGTTGAAGAGCTGTGGTGGCTGTCTAGAATTTGGTTGCCTCCAAATATTGTTGAGCTGTACATCCAGTCATTATTTTCTAAAAGGTTCATTAAAATCCATCTGGTGGTTCATGAGATATTTTACTAACAGACATAAGCAAAATGCTAATCATGATCTGCCTTTGTCCTTCATCTGCAGGCAGTAATAAATACAGAAGTAACCAGGTGTATACGTGTGTGTTTTTCGTGGGAGAGGTAACAATGGAGTGGTGGTGGTGGTGGGTGTGTGTGTGTGTGTGTGTGTGTTTGTGTGTGTGTGTGTGTGTGTGTGTGNCACACACACACACACACACACACACACACACACACACACACACACATTGAATCTATCTTCCCGTTTCCTTTCTTTGTTGCTACCTCAGACTTTCCGCTCTTCCCTTTCTGCCTATTTTCACCAACTTTATCTCATCTTCAGAAACAACAAAGCCTCTCCGGCCCCCCCGCCTCTGACTTCTGGTGAGGGACACAGTGTACTTGATTTTGCAGCGACTTAAAAAAAAAAGAAAAAGAAAAAGAAAAAAAATAAAGAAAAACCCAGAAGAACTTAAGTGATGTGCTCATTATTTAAGCATGAGCTGGCATTTTATTCTCCCCAGTCATTTTTAGCTCTGGTTCCGTTCGCGTAAAAATGATTAGTGTAGCAGTATCTGGATAGTGGAAAGCTTGCACTCATAACTGCGCACAATTCAAAAGCCTTCGGGGGTTTGATCATATATCTGTCTACTTTAGTCTCTATGTGATGCAGGGTCTCTTCTGCAAGCTGGTAAAGACAAAGTGAAGCTTAATGTGTAAGAACATTTGGATTACTGGAAGAGCGAGGTGTATAAGGGCCTCCGTTGCCAGTAAATTACTTAAGCTCTACATGGCTTTCGCAGAATTTTGATAATGCTGCCATGTAAAAGAACACTGTACCATCTGTGTCTGGGATTATAGGAGGAGGATGGGACTCTGAGCACTGGGATTCAGCCTCTACACTTTACACTGTTTGCTTCTGACTCCGATCTGAGCTGGATTTAAATATAGCCTCCTGCTTCTGCTGCTATCAGACGACGGAGATGCTTGTTTATCAAATAAATGGAGTGTACAGCTGGGATTTTCCCCCTCATTTTAAAATTTGTTTTATCACGGTTCACCACAAGATCGTGACATTTTCAGTTCTCAGAGTCTCCGAGCGCTCGGGCTCAACAATCAAAGATGTCGAACATTTTTTTTCCCTCTTCAACCACGCCATACACAGTTTGTTCTACTCATCATAAAAATTGCCACAGAAATGTTCATCCTAATGATGTCATTGCCATGGAAACACGTTTAGTTTTCAGAGTCTCATACACAGAATCAGCATAGCAAAAAATAAATAAATTTTTTTAAAAAAAGGTGGGGAATGATGGTGTGGCAACAAAAGCAACAAGTCTTTTCCCCTTCAGAGCTGCCTCAAAAATAACTTTGTTTGCCCTTTAACGCACCCAACATCCACATCATTATTCCATGCTCCGCATTTCATGTGGTGGCATCCCTTCGACTGGAACAGACCAGCACTTGATGTGCTCTTGTGGTGTGAAGCAGGCAGTGCATAAAACAGGGGATCTTTTAGGAATCCAAATATTGCATCAAAAATGCATGAGTTTCCAACCTTTTTTTTAAAAAAAAAAACAGCGATGTGAATTTTAGTTCACTGGCATGGCTCTCCTCATTTGACACCCTGGAATGAATTTAAGCTGGACTTCCTTTGAGCTGCGAGAACGTTGCCGCGTTAAAAAGAAAACCTTGTGAGATTTACTGTCTTGAAGCAGATGTCTAACAGCTGAGCTGAACCTTTTTTTAGAGGTTAATTGTAATCAGGCTGTGTATGCTGAATCATAGCTGAACTTTGTAACGCTAAAAAAAACAAAACTCTTGGCAGTGAGCTCAACTTGGTAGTGATTTATCAACATTGCAAGTTTTGAGTTATACTTCTGCCATGTGGAATAAAGAATAAACCCCCTGATGTCCTAACATTTAAAAGTGTCAATCTAAACATTTTGACTCAACTGTTCAGTTTATCATGATTGGACAGAGTTTTATAACAGTATTTGTGAGCAAGAAGAAATTAATCAGCAGTTATTATTAAAAGAACGTATTTAGGGCACTTTTTATAACCTGTAAGTAAAAAAAAAAGACATTGTCCTCAGAGACCTAATGGTTTCAAATTGTTACTGTTTGCTTTTAACCACAAGAGGGTGACGTGCACCACTACCCCAGCACGACATCAGACCGACTTGTCTAAACAAATTTAGGTTAAGCATCACCCCCTTTCTTTAAATAGTCTGTTTTTGTTTTTTGAAGCAATCTAGAGATGAGGTAACTTAAGGTGGCCTAAAAATATTATAAGGTGGTGCAAAAAAAAAAAAAAGATTTCTACGGTGATTTAGTCAACATTTATATTAATTACACAAATTTATTTGAAATTTAAAAATGTTTTTTTAGCATCTTCTTTTATTGCTATACTAAATATTTTCTATGTGTTTTGGCGCATATACGATGTTAACAAATATAGAAAAACATTCATTTAGTCTGAAATCTTGATGTTTAATGCTGGTAGCTGCTTACAAAACTAGACAAAAGAAAATTATATAAACTGTCACACATTCTGGAAAACATCTTATTTTTTCTTGTCAAAACCTAAATGAGAATTTGAAATTTTGATCAGCTTTTCCCAATCAATAATGAAATCACTTCCCTCTCAGGACTTCCATCTGTTTGGACAGTTTGTTTTATTTGTCAGATTGAGCTATGTGGACATTTTTTATTGAATCTTTTCATTTAAAAAAACGTGGAAATATTGCTGCTCGCACAGCTAATATAAAGTAAAATGAGCAAAGCTTTTTTGCAGGATATAGTCAGTGAGAGAAGGAGAGGAGGAGGAAGAGGATTCTGGACTTTTATTCAAACTGTGCATGCATCCAGTAATTCAGTCGTGCAGTGGAGCCACCGCTCTGACCAAATAAGACTGGACACAGAAAGTCAGTCATCTGGCCCTCGGGTCATCACAGCCTGCCTCCATCAGAAAACCTCTTCGCAATCTGCAGAGCTGATGTGATAACAGCTGAGTTTTTGGAGCAGCTCGACTAATAAATGTCTCTTTTTTTATTATTACTATATTTTTTTCTCAAAGCGGCCAGCTGCTGAGCCTGGAGGACGGGACGTCCTCTGGCAGAGGACAGGAACCGGAGGGGATGAAGAGGGAGGGACCCAGCGAGTACGAGATAAGCCTGGAGAATAAAAACAAACAGGTACGTCACCCCCACCCCCACACACACACACACACACCATGCTCCTTAACACATAGAGAGGTGTAGTAAAAATGCTGTCAGTTGCACCTGGTTAAGTAAAACGAGGAGTTGGGGGTGTGGGGAGGGTGGGTGGCGGTGATCAATTGACACTGCCTTCCTTGACACAAAACAAAAAGAAAAAAACTGAGGGTCCCATTCAGATCTATTTCTGTCTCTGTTGACATGAAAAAGAACACCCAGGGTACCAACCGCCACGGCGACAGGAAGAGAGGAGATGCTAGGTTGTCATGGTAACAGCTAATAACTGCTTGTGGTGGCTGGATATGACTTTACTCCTCAGAGCCAACTGAAGGGTTTGCTGTGGCCTCTGCAGAGCAGGTGTGTGTGTGTGTGTGTGTTTGTGTGTGTGTGTGTGGGGGGGGGGGTTACAAGTGTTTATCACAGAAATCAAGTGTGAGTAATGCTGACAACAGATATTTAAAAGATTCTGAGTCCCTTTAAGTGTGTGGAAGTTGCCGTGAAAAGGTAGCTTTTTATAGCTCAGACTGTCACTCCTGGTTTTGCGCCGGCTCGGACTGCCTGTCACTGTGGCTCTGTGTCACGAGCGATAATGTGCACTCAGGTCAGGAAACGAAGCGTAGTGCAGCAGAGGATTTTACTGTCAGTTGGATTCTTTGAACACAATGTGGATGGAAACCTCCCAAAGAGCTGGGACGCCGCAGGATGATCACGCTCGGTTTTATGTCTCTGATGGAGGAAAGTGTGCGGCATTCAGAACCTGAAGGAGCGAACGCAGACAGCACAGCTCCTTACATGTGATGTGCTTCGGCTCTTTTTGTGCACATAATTTGCTCCAGATAAGAGCCCTGGCATAATGCCTGAAATATGAATGCTAATGTAAAATGTATGAGAAACAAATGAGAGAGGGCAACCTAACTTAAGAGGAGGAAGGAGGCAGCGGAGCTGGAAAAAAATCATCCGTCCGGACTGGAAGTGGGGAATTCTGTTACATCTCAGCTGACATATCCAAGCATATCAATACTCACACTCGCTCAGAGCCTCCTAAGCCTAGAATTGACCCACATTTGAATTTTTACTTTGGGATCAGCACTAAATTGTTTCATATAATCCGGAGTCCAAGAGGGGACACTTTAGGATCGTTTGGGATGCTGCAAATGAGCAGAAGAGGCGATACTGAAGCTTTATCTACTCATCCTGCAGCTTTCCTCCTCCCTTTACTGACCTTTTCCTTCTTTCTTTGTCCTTCTACAGGAGTGAGACCGTGCTGCATCAGTTTTGCTGCCCAGCCCCTGAACATCCAGAGGCTGATACCTCTGGCTCATCTGGGTAAGACCCTTTATCCAGCAACTCATACTTCTCGTCTTTTCTTTTTTTTAAATTTCCATCCAAATGAATCTGCACATCTGAGTTGAGCATTCAGAGTCCCGTCAGCACTCGAGCTTTCATTCATGCTTTGTGCTGAACTGGACAGATTATCAGCGTGAAACGGTGCAGTTATTGACCCACGAGGCCAAACAATGCAGTGAGATGGTTAATAAAAGAGCTATAGAACTATGGATCCCAAGTCTGTCTGCAACTCACAAGAAAACAACAGAGGAGGAGGTGGGATGATGTATGAACTGATACTGCCACTATCAAAGCACCCATGGCAACCCTGAAATGACGCAACAGTTATCTCTGCCATAGTAACAGGAGAATCTACAGTAGCCAGTTTACCAGCCTGATTCTGCGTGGGCAGCAGTTAAACGTATGAGTGTGGGAACTTTTTTGGATTGCATCGCGCTGATATGAGCAGTGTTTTCAAGAACGCATGCATGTTTCCCTCCAGATATCGCTTCTTTTCCATCCTGTTTCTAAATATGATCATCAGCATCATCTAACTGCTGCATCTTCTGCTGCAAAATCTTCTGCTGTTTATTTCTTCCAATTATTTAGCTGCCTGTTCTAAGACCGTGTCTTGTGTACTCATCTCATTGCGATTATCTCCACCTCATCCATTCCCCATTAAATCCCCCTCTCTTATTAATATCACCATCTGTCTGCCTGGAATCCCTCTCCCTTTCTCTCTGATCCGAACGTTTTAACTCCCGTACGCCCACGTATACGACCGGCGATTTGGACAGGATAACCGCTCAGCGGCCCGCGGACGAACAGCTGAGGCGACGAGACGAGGAGGAGATGTTGGAGCACCAGCACGGCTCCTTATTTATCATCTTCATCGTCAGCACGGGTTGTTTTGCTGTTGCTGTTGGCTGCAGCTCCGATGCACGCAGACATCCTCCCGAATCCATCAGTGCACTCAAACCTCCCCAGAGACGCCATGAGATCTGCCTCCGAGCCTAACCTGCTGCACCTTTAGCACTTGCTTCCGCCTTTAAAGATCCTTCAGATCTTTAGAAGTGGGTTGGGGGCTGGGGGGTTCTGTGGAAAGGTTCTAAACAATCAATATCCTACTTGTTGTAGATAGCTTATTGGAGCATTTCTGGTTGAATAGATAGAGCTAAATCCTGACCAGTATTACAACTATTTCAGTATGAGGGGTTTATTCACATTTGTTGTTGTTCAGCACAAGTGAGTCGTTTTTTTTTATGTTCACTTGTGGAACATAAAAAAACAACAAATTCTCTTGTTTTAAAAACTTTTAAAGCTACATTTCTTTTAGACACGAGTTCTGTCACTTTTATTATATTATTATTTTTTTGCCTGAAGGCATGAATCATCTGTTTGTCTGTCCGTCCATCTGTTAACAGTTTTCTTGTCAGCTCTATTCCTCTTCCACCTTTTAAAGGATTTTGATGAAACTTGGTGAGAAGTATCATCACTCAGAGGCTGCACATATTGCTGGTATTTTGTACTGCACTCAGTGTTCTACCCCTTTGCTACAGTGAGCTTGTCACCTTGACTTTTTTGTTTTTGTTTTTATTAATAAAAATCTTCAGGTATTTGGCTCGAGTCACTGTGCAGGAATGGCAAAGGAGAAATAAGAAAGAAAAGATAATCAGATTGATTCCTAAATCAGAAAAAAGTCCTTGACAAAGTGTTTTGAGTTTGTTTTTGTCATCGTTAGTACTAAATGCCAAACATTGTAAACTGAAATTTATGATTAAAATACAGAATAACATTTTATCCTCTCTTAACTTCCAGACTCAAAAGAACCAACACACAGACACACACAAAAACATACACACATGTTATTTTTATCTTTGGAACTTTGCATTGACTTCCATTCATTTCTACAGCATAACCCTGACCCTTCACCCTAAAACAAACCACTCCAGTACATGCCTGACCCTATATCTAGCCTAAACTCAATTCACATCTTAGTCCTAACCCTAACTTTAGATCCATCAACGATATTTCCCCCGATGGGAACTGGGCTTTTGTTCCTGTAAGGAACAGTTCCTCACAAGACAAATGTCCACACAATGACACAAAATGAAAAAGAAATAATGTCACTAAATTTCCAATATAAAGACATGTACACACTTAAACACAGGGGCTTTGGCCCCAGCTGAAATCCGATTGGCCCCCTGAAGTGCCCCTGTCCTTCACCTGTGAGCGATGATGGTCGATGCAGTTCCATGTCCAAACACTGGAGGCGCTAATAATTCAAATGGGAAAGTCCAGCATGAATCAAGCTGACAGAAATCTTCTGCAGAAAAAGTCTTTCAGCTGACAAACGATGCTGTGTGTTTGAGAGAATTGTATCTATGTGCAGTGAAAATGTATGTAAAACTGGTAAAAATTACATTACAGGTTTGAACACAACTAGTTAAATGTAAACACTTTACCAAAACTGGAGATTTGTGTGAAAGGATGCTGAACAAACACTTTGCCCCTCTATGAATACAGTGACCCCTTGATGGCCCCTTATTCAGACAAATCCTCGATCTGCCACTGCTTAAACAGGCTGGGTTTGTTCTCAGGTTCATATCTGATGATCTCTGAGCTAATGGTGAGTCCAAGCAGGGCCAAGACCAACGTGGACTGTTGCCATCTGATGACTACTTTAATCTAAAAACGTCCTGGTGGTTTATGCAAAAACTGCTTCATAAAACCTTTATACAGCTGCCAGAGTTTTGTTGTCGAAGTTCATATTGCCCGAGTTCCTTGATTTCAGTTCTTGGTATCCGTGTTTGAGTTCTCCTGGTTGTTCCTGACAGGTTGTTTTCAGTTTTCAGCTGTGTTTTTCTGCTACTACAGCCCGGTCGGGCATTTTTAGGTTTCATTCACCATGTTTGCAGCTACCGTTTCCTCTCAGCTGCTCTGTCTTGCCTTGTCACACACACCTGTCAGCCATCTGTAATCATCTCACCTGTTCTCACCTGCCAGTCATCTGTCCCAGTAGATATAAGCTCCCTGGTTTTACTCACTTCCTGTCATATCCATGTATGTACGTCTCTGCAACTTATGGCCTGTGTTGGTCCTAGGATTTTCGTACATTAACATGTTTGTTTTAGTTTATTTAACAAATCCCTTTTTGGTTTATACTTCCTGTCTGCACGCTTGGGTCCTCGCCAAACTCCAAACCACCACAACTGTTGCAGTCAGGTTTGCACTACATGGTTATTCTGGCAGAAATATTACAATATTCCTGCTGAAGGAGCCCCCGGGCTGCACAGGAAGTGCCACAGCAAGCAGCAGCTGCAGCTAAAATGTAGCATTTGCACAAACCACTGTGGAATTTTTGAGTTATTTTAAGCAAGCAGCTATCTAGTCTGAACCGCGCTCGGACTCTTGTAGCTCGAAATTAAAGTCTCATTTCTTCAAACCGAGGTTGTTCAAAGAGCTATCTACAACAGATAAGATATCAATTTTTCATAACTTTCCACGGAACTTTATTTCAAAAGATCTGAAGCCTTGCTTCAGGTGTGTAGGTGTGCGTCCTCCCCTGGGTGTACAGTACTACGAGTCTCTGAGGGACTTGGAGCGATGTGAGTCGACAAATGCGCCGCAGCGGCACACACTCAGGCATGTTTATTCTGTGTTTAGCTGCTGCTGCATATGATTTGTGAGCATGCATGTGAGAATAAAAACAAGAAAAAGTGCCATAATGTTCACGTCATTATGAAGACTTTGGCTGGCCAGATGCATTTAAAACCCTCTAATGTATTCTAATGTACTCTAATGTATTCTGATGCAGCACCAGGGCATGGCAGTGTTTTAATAGAGTTTTTGATAGAGACAGCCTCCAGCATACACACACACACACACACACACACACACACACACACACACAC